TCTTGGAGTCTTAGTGGACAACCAGCTAAATATGAGGCAGCAGTGTCCAGCAGCCACCAAAAAAGCTAATGCAATCCTAAATTGCATTAACAGAGGGATACAATCAAGATCCAGTGAGGTACTAATATCACTCTATAAAGCCTTAGTAAAACCACACCTAGAGTACTGTGTCCAGTTTTGGTAACCACACTATAAATAAGATGTTGAGACTCTAGAAAAAGTACAGAGAAGAGCAACCAGGATGATTAGGGGACTGGAGACTAAAACATATGAAGAACAGTTACAAGTGGGCATGGCTAGTCTAGTGAAGAGAAGGACCAGGGTAGACATGATAGCAGTGTTCCAATATTTGAGGGGCTGCCACAGAGAGGAGGGGGTCAAGCTATTTTCTAAAGCATCTGAAGGCCAGACAAGGAATAATGGATGGAAACTGAACAAGGAGAGATTTAACCTGGAAATAAGGAGAAACTTTCTGACAGTGAGAAGAATCAACCAATGGTACAGCTTGCCCTCAGAAGTTGTGGGAGCATCATCACTTGAGACTTTCAAGAAGAGATTGGACTGCCATTTGTCAGAAATGGTGTAGGGTCTCCCGCTTGGGCGGAGAGTTGGACTAGATGACCTACAAGGTCCCTTCCAACTCTGATTATCTCTGATTATCTGTTATCTATTAGAAGCATTTGAAATGTGGATTTATAGGCGGCTGTTACATATAAGCTGGGTTGACAAACTCAGAAATGAGAAGGTGATAAGCCACCTGGGAAAAACAAGGGAAAAAATCAAAACTGTAAAAAGCAAAAGTTAGATTATTTTGGACATGTAACAAGATACCCGGAAAAATACTACATATTTCAGTTAATCCTCCAGGGAAAGATTGAAGGCAAACAAGATCCAGGCAGAAGAAGAACATTATAGCTTCAAAATCTAAGGGACTGGTTTGGACAAAACTCAGCAGGACTTTTACATGTGGCTGTTGATAAAAATAGGATTGCCAACATGATTGTCAACATCTAATGATGGATATGGCACAAGAAGAAGAAGGAAGCACCTGAAAAATTAGCTCTTGGTTTGTTCCTACCTTTTTGGTGTTTATTCTCCAGTCAAATCAATAATGTTTAAAATAAAAAACTTCAAATCTATTTTGAAATATCATTGAATCAAAACTGACGGTGGTGGTGCTGCTGCTGCTGGCCAGTTTGCTGTAGTGGTTAAGGTGCTGGCTTAGAAAGCAGGAGACAGTGAATTCTAATCCTGCCTCAGGCATGAAAGCCTGCTGGGTGATTTGGTGCAAGGCACACTCACTAAGCCCAATCCACCTCAAAGAGTTGTTGTGGGGAAAATAGGAAGGAGTATATCCCTTCAGATGCTTATTTATACCCCCTCTGTCTTCCTATCTCATCATGGATGTGGTTGCTAGGAGTGATGGCACATAATCAATTAATCCATCGATTTTCATAGTTCTCCTCTCTTCTGGTTATAGAAAAATCATTCTCCATTTCCTCCCAGGCATCTGATCATGCTGATTATCAGTCCAATGGGAAAAACAGATGGGGTTTCCTGTAATTCAAAGGTTTTACTTTCTATGGTCAAGAATTGTTCTGGGTCTCTGGATTGCAGACTCTCATCTGTTTCCTAAAGACAAAGGTAAAGGTTCCTTTGCACATACATGCTAGTCGTTTTCGGTGCTCATCTCCGTTACAAAGCCAAAGAGCCAGCGCTGTCTGAAGATGTCTCCGTGATCATGTGGCAGGCATGACTAAACGTCAAAGGTGCATGGAACGCTGTTACCTTCCCACCAAGGTGGTCCCTATGGTTCTATTTGCATTTTTACATGCTTTCGAACTGCTAGATTGGCAGAAGCTGAGACAAGCAATGGGAGCTCACTCCATTATGCAGTGCTAGGGATTCGAACCGCCGAACTGCTGACCTTTCTGATCAACAAGCTCAGTGTCTTAGCCACTGAGCCACTATGTCCCTTCCATCTGTTTCCTAAGTCAAGACAAATGTTGCAGGCAATAGAAACATTTTTATTTTCTCAACTCAGAAAAGAAAATTGATTATCTTGGCCAGTAGCTGTAAATGGACACATCTTTTTAATAAAGCTGCTGAAAGGAAGCATCCAAAATCTCTCACAATTGGCCATCCTGGTTACTGGATTCAGCAAAACCTGGGAAGTCACAAGTTCCTTATTCCTGATTTACCTATTTTATTAAAGTGCCACCTAAGCTTGTTATTGCTGCCAAATCTTCATTATATAAATTGTATGCAATATGTTAAACACTGGAGAAAGTGGGGAGGGGGGAGATGCACTTTAAAATTTTCTTCACTCCTGATGGTGTTTTTCTCCATGTCCAACCCACCTTGAATTCTCATTTCCCCAGTTGAAGGATAGCTGTGATGCAGGGACCAGGGTTTTAGGCTTCAGTACATCGATTGCTGTGGAACCAGGTGTGGGATTCTACCAATTCGCACCTATTCGCTAGAACCGGTTGTTAATCTTCTAAGCAGTTCAGAGAACCGGTTTTTAGAAGAAATTACTGGCCTAATCCTGTAAGGAAGGCAGGAAGGAAACATTCTGGTGTTGCTTACAGAAAGTGCCTCTCCATTAACCCTTATTACATTCTTGGCAGGACTAGACTTCCTGTCTCAGGAACTTCTCTGGAGTTTTTTTCCCCTCCTTTGCTGGTACTTTGAGCGACCATTCAAAGTTTCAATGGCACTGAAAAAAGTGACATATGACCATTTTTCACACTTACGACTGTTGCAGCATCCCCACAGTCATGAGAGGCCAGGCGAGGAGATGCGTGCCTCGATGTGAGTGATGTTGAGTTGGCCACGCCCAGCCAATAACATGACCACCAAGCCATGTCCACCCAGTCACATGACCACCAAGCCACACCCACCACCTAAGCCAAGCCCACAGAACCGGTTGTTAAAAATTTTGAATCCCACCCCTGTGTGGAACAACAGGAACACGATCTTTCCACTTGGGAGAAAGGAAAAGAAAGAAAAGAGAGGGAGGAAGGGAAAAAAAGAGAGGAAGGTAGGAAAAGAAAGGGAAGGGAAAAGAAAAGAAAAGAAAGGGAGGGAGGAAGAAGAGAAACAGAGAGGCTTTCTCCAGCACCTCCAATTGCCCACCACACTCTGCAATCGCTGCTACCTAGCCCCTGCTGCCCTCACCAGTCACCCCACCACCACCTTACATCACTGCCCCACACAGCTGCCCGCTGCCTGATTGGTTGCCAGGAGCCATGGCTTCTGGTCCCGTGCAGTGAATTCTCCTGGTAAAACTTGGGGAACCAGCTGGGATGAGGGGCTGGGAGCGGGGGGGGCGGGATTGGCAGTGGAGAATCACCAGCAGAGGGCCAATCGAGGAGGAAAGCCCACTGTGGGTTGGGTGAGGCAGGTGCCCAGGAGTGAAGTGGGCACAGAGAAGTGTTGGCACCTAATCGTCCCATTCCGGCTATGGCTGCGTGGAGCAAATTTTCACTGACATTTATACATTCTAAAAAGGGAAATTTTACTGCATCCAATATGAGTAAGAAAATAGCAAGGAAATAGTTGTGACATGCCTTGGGGATTGTAAAGATATTTTGATTACTTTAATATAATTTAAATGTGCTTGGTAAGTAACTTTATAAATATCATACCTTTTTAACCATTTTGTTTGTTTCGTTTGAATCAGGCATGCCTGCTGCAAATACTGTATCTATGACATTAGATACCATGTCAATGTGAATTTTGTTCCTAACTTGAATGTGAACTTTGTTTCGATAAATTTAAACACACACACACAGACACACACAGACACAGACACACACAGACACACAGACACATGCAGACTTTCCTTTGAAACCTCAATAAACCAGACGAATTCTATACTAGATCAAAGAAGCCTGTTATTTTAAATAACTACAAGCAATACTTTAACCCACATGCATTTTTTGTGGGATAAAATGAGTCAGTTTTATCAGGAAAACATCAGAATACCTATTTAGGAGGATGAAAGAAGAGAACAGACTGTTTACTTGTCATTATTTGGAGATCTTACATTCCCAGCAAGCAGCCCACAGCTTTTAACAACATAAAACAAGAACATACTCTATAAAATCTGAATATCAGAAACTTTTCCAACATCTTTAATAATCAGTACTTAACTTCAGTGCCCAGGCAATGAAACAGTACAATTGTAACAATATTCAGTGAAAATGGATAAAGCAAATGCCTGGAAAATGAAAGATTGGGTATACAACGAAGCTTTAACCTCTTCTTTTTAAAATGAGGGAGAGAGGGACATCTCCAAACATCCTAGAGCAGGGGTGTCAAACTCGATTTCATTGAGGGTGGGGTGGGCGTGGTCAGGGTGGGCGTGGCCAGCTTGATGTTTATTTATTTTTTATTTTTATTTATGTATTTATTTTTGTCAATTGCTTACAAGATAATAGGTATAAGTAAAAACATAGTTATGAATACATGGATACATATAAGAAAAATAAAAGAAACAATAGGACAGGGACGGTAGGCACGTTGGTGCGCTTATGCATGCCCCCTACAGGCCTCTTAGGAAAGGGGTGAGGTCAATAGTAGACAGTCTAAGATTAAAGTTTTTGGGGTTTGGGGAAGAAACCACAGAGTCAGGTAGAGTATTCCAGACATTGTCACTTGTGTGACAATCTCGTGTTAGGGCCGCCTGTGGTGGCCTGTGCACTCTGCCAACGAAAACAGGCTCCCAATCTCCGTTTTCGCCTGGGTCAGCCTCCTGCAACCCTCTGCCAGAGAAAATGGAGCTTGCAAGAGCTGCTGCATGCCCTAATTCTCCCTACTTCAGTCTTTCGAGGGAAGGAAATCCCTTGCACCAAAAGGTTTTGAATGAGAGTTTGAATAGCCAATAGTCACAAGGGCAGCCTACGGTTGCAACTTCCATGAGCTATAAATAGAAAGTGTTCTGAACACAGAAGTTTCAAAGACCGGCAACAATGAAGGTGATTTTTTTCACCTTGTTCTGCTTACTCATAGCAAGACAGAAGGCTAAAGTATTTGATGTTTGTGACTTATATTACATTCTGAAGTTTTTTCAAATGGATCCTTTCAAAGGCATTTACTCAGAGCAGTGTGAGTTCTATTTCAGTTCCTCATAATTCATTTCCATTGTTAGGATTAATCAAAATCTAATTTTCAATCATCTACTGTATTTTCCCAATCTCCCCCCCCCCCCCCCCCTCTCTCTCTTGTTGATTGAAGTACATTTCAGCACATTTATTTTTTTGTTTCTTCCAAATGTTTCCTTTAAAGCTAGGAAGTTTCACTGTCGTCAGCAAATGTTTTCAAATAGAAGGGTGAATATGGGACATAAGAATGAAGAATGCAAAAAGCAAAACACATCAAGATACAATAAAGGAAAAGATAAATCCAAAACATTGGAGAAGTTTCCCAGTTTCTTAGTAATCTCTGATTGCAGTGCTTTCTAGTTTACAAGATCCTAGTGGATAAAACTAAACGTTTGAATAGTCAATATTAAAACATCAGCGTCTTGAAAATGCCAACCGATGAATTGAGTTGCCAAAGATAACAGGCACTTTTCTTGCTTTCTTGTTTTGCATTTTGGGTCTGATTTTTGAAAAAAACAAAAAATCCTATTTCTTTCCTTCTTCTCCCACTAGTTGTCTGTGCAGCTGATTACTCAAGCAGGCTTGATACTTTGTACTATGAGAACGTTTGGGGTGTTCCCCGTTATGGAATATTCCAACTCAGCGGCCTCGAATGGTGTGATAATGGGAGGCACCCCACTCAAAATAGATGCAACGTTAGCTGTGATTGTGAGTGATTTCTTCCTTTCTTTCTTTTGCCTTTGCTTTTGCTTTATTGTTCAAACAGGAAATTCCAACCAGAAAGCCAAACAAAATGTTCTGTAAACTATTCTCCCAATTTCTAAATATAAATGATCTAGTTACATTCCATTGTGGCTTTTCCCTAATTGCCTCTGTGATACAATCATGCCCCAGCAACAGTGGTGGGATTCAAAATAATTTAACAACCGGTTCTCTGCCCTAATAATTTCTTCCAACAACCAGTTTGCCAAACTACTCAGAAAGTTAACAACCGGTTCTCCTGAAGTGGTGTGAACTGGCTGAATCCCACCACTGCCCAGCAACCTTTTTTCAGTTTCATTTTTTGCTCTACAGCCTTATAGTGAATGAAGCTTCTTTTTTTTCTTTTTTCTTTTTTTGTCATGTTCCCATGATGCTGTTTTGCTCTTGTCCGTAACCCCTTATCAGACAGACTTAAGTCTTCCTTAACTGTATAGGTAGTCCTCGACATATGACCATAATTGAGCCCATAATTACTGTCATAAGCAGTGGTGGGATTCATTTTTTTTTACTACTGGTTCTGTGGGCGTGGCTTGGTGGGCGTGGCAGGGGAAGGATACTGTAAAATCTCCAGTCAGAGGGGGTATTGGCCGGTTCTCTGAACTACTCAAAATTTCCGCTACCGGTTCTCCAGAACTGGTCAGAACCTGCTGAATACCACCTCTGGTCATAAGTCATGTCAGTCATTAAGTGGGCCATCGCCTGATTGCACCTGATTTTGCCATCTTTTAATGCAGTGGTTGTTAAGCAAATGTGCTTGTTGCTAGGTGAATGCTAAGTCATTAAGTGAGTGCCATGGTTATTAGGCAAAGCCATTCTTCACTATAAGCGGGGGGGTTTCTGAAAGCTAGAAAAAATACTGCTTTCTGGGGGGGGGGAACCCAGCATAAATAGTGGTCATGTGACTGCAGGGTGCTGTACATGTGGCTGATTGTCAACCACCCAAAAGCGGTGGGTGTCACATATTCATTGGGCAGCCATTAGAACTTTAAATCTGGGTCATAAGCATCTTTTGGAGGTTCATCATAACTTGGAACATTGGAACTTCAGATCAGGTTATAAGTTGAAGATTACCTGTTCTGATATTAATGTAGTGCTCCCCCCTCCTTTTATCCAATGCAATTCAAGGGCAGCATCAAGATATGTTACACGTTCTCGCCCACTAGTTTGTATGGAAATCAGGTGGGTTGCTTAAGAGAAACAGCTAACAATGGGGACATCTATTTCACGCCAGTATAGTTTTCGGACAATCTAAGAAAGAGGAAAGGCCCTTGATGGTGGCAGTGGTCACACTGGGGACTGAACCTCCTGGTTGCTGAAAGGCCATTTCCCCACAAATAGTTAGAGCAATTTCTGGAGTCATCCTTGCAACTACACAACAATAATGAGAACAGGCTTTCTATCACTTCAGTGATCTAGGTGATCTATGAAGGGATTGCATTGGGGAACTGGCCAATGGCATTCTTCCCATATTTACCAAATATATACCAAATATATACCATACACAGCAAAGTTCAAAAATGCCTGAAATCAAAGGCTTTAGGAATTGCTACCTACCATGTCCCAGTTGTTTATTACTCCTTCATCAGTTCTTCTATACATGCCGAAATAGCATTAGGAACAATCATCCAATGGAACAGCTTGCCCTCGGAAGTTGTGGGAGCGTCATCACTTGAGACTTTCAAGAAGAGATTGGACTGCCATTTGTCAGAAATGGTGTAGAGTCTCCCGCTTGGGCGGGGGGTTGGACTAGATGACCTACAAGGTACCTTCCAGCTCTGATTATCTGTTATCTGTTAATTTCATAGACAAAGTTGCGGCCCAAGACAAAACAAGATTAAAAGTATCTCTATGTTATTTATGGACCACTATTTACTAGTCAAATACTTTCTAATCAATACAATAATATTATTTAATTCAAAGTCTAAGTAAAATCTGAGAGCCAAGTGCTATTCTGATATGCTTGAGGATACCAGAAGTCACAAAAGTGCACAGGATCAAAACACAAAAAATACCTAATATAATTTACAACTGAATTATTTATTTGTTTGTTTGTTTGTTTGTTTATTTATAAGCATTTATGCCACCCATCTCCCCTATAAGGTGACTTTGGGCAGCTTATAAGTTATAAAACAAGTAGAAAAAATTAAAATATTAAAACTACACAGGTTAAGATTATTCAAACTATTCTGAAACCAGAACTGAGGGAAGGACAGGATGGGGATGAGGCCTTCTTACCCTGTTATCCATCTCTAGCAGTGATTGCTTTCACCAGGCTGCAGGCCAAACAGCAAATCCATGTTTTAATATCTTTCTGATAGACCCAAAAGGTGGGAGCAGTTCTCACCTCCGGTTCCATAGAGATGGAACCAGAGCAGAAAACATGCTGTTAATGGTGATTAGTTTTGAACATAGAGATACTTTTGAATATAAGACATAGAGATCTGATGCTAGGTGATTCCCTGGTGAAAAATTGTACTTTGTAGCTACCTTATTTATTTTAAGGTCAGTTATTAAAGTACTGTAAATTGAAAACATTTTAACAAATGCTAAAATAATTTATTACAAAGATTTCCTTAGTGTCTTTTCATGTCTACATCGCCATTCCTGGACGGCTAGCTATATTGATCTTTGTTGGCATGCCACCAAGGAATTAAATCAGAATAAGTCCCATCTTCTGTCTCCTCATGTTTATTGGCTGGCCCATGGTCAGTATATTACTTGAAGACATTCTTGGGCTAAGGAACCCAATCCTATTCTCTCACACATGGCTTATCTCACAAGATCGTTAATTAAAGGTAGGAATACTGGTAGATGAAAAAGTAGATATGAGTAAGGAATAGATTAAAAACAGCACAGCCTCTGTATGTCCCACTTCAAGATGAAGTTCTGATATCTTGGATAATCGGTTGGCATATCACACTTTTAGATTTAACATTCTTCCATTGAAATTATCTTCACAGTGTTCTTAGATGATGACATCCAAGATGATACTTTATGCGTTAAAAAAATAGTTCAAAGAACGAAGGATATGAGAGCTTGGTGAGTGTCAAGTGGCGCTTTTCTCTCCTTTCAGTTAGTGCTTTCAAGGGCTTTTCTGCATTGCAGCTTTCACCAGTTTCTCTATTCTGAAGAAACTAGCTGGAAATGAAATCTGTACATTGACCATTGGGTTGGTCAAGTGTTGTATATGGATGGCAGATAACGTGGCTCTGATTGGTGGATTTACCTACTTCTCTTCCTTCCTGCCAATCCTAGGAAAGCAAACAGCAATTCCCACCCCCCAATTTTTTCAGACAGGGCTTTTGAGGACTGGAAGAAAAACTTCCAAGTTTCTTCTTCTGCTTGGCCTGAAGAGAAAATTTGGCATTTCTCAGCAATTTCACGCATTCATTACTAAACTTGTTTTTAAAAAATGAAGGAAAAAGTTCAGCCTCTCACTGTAGGCAGCCTAGGAACTCATTATGAAATATCCAGTAGAGAACAGCAGAGGGAGCAAAGGGGAGGCATCACAGGACATACAAGCCAATTAGAATAGAGTTTTTTGTGTAGGGTAGAAGGAATCACAACAGGCATAATTCCTGTTTGAACCAGCAAAAGTGGAAAAACTATTTTTGATGCAAACCCAGAAAGTTTAGATGGAGATCATCTTTCCAGCAGATGAGAACAAGTTGAAAACTTGATCTTCTATTCCTGACCTTCTAAAATTCTAAAATTGAATTGGCTCAGTGGTTAAGACGTTGAGCTTTGTCGATCAGAAAGGTCGGCAGTTCAAATTCCTAGCACTGCGTAACGGAGTGAGCTCCCGTTACTTGTCCTAGCTTCTGTCAACCTAGCAGTTCGAAAGCATGTAAAAATGCAAATAGAACCATAGGGACCACTTTGTGGGGAAGTAACAGCGTTCTGTGCGCCTTCGGCATTTAGTCATGCCGGCCACATGACTACGGAGACATCTTCGGACAGTGCTGGCTCTTCGGCTTTGTAACGGAGATGAGCACCGCCCCCTAGAGCCAGAAATGAACAGCACATATGTGCAAGGGGAACCTTTACCCTTTAATCTTGTGCTGGGGCAAATAGAAAGTCTGGATTAGCCTCAAGGCACCAATCAAATGAATTTTATTCTGGGAGCAGCTTTTCCAAAATGGTGCCCTGGATTGGATTTCACTTCTTCTTCAAATTGCAATCTTTTTTAGGACTTTCTATGGCCATTGTAGCTGAGGAGATAATAATTGAACCAACTTGGAGGAAGCTATCAAAAAGGGGTTTAAGTGAAAATTATAGTCATGCTACATGTGTTTGGAAAAAAAAAATCTTTTTTTTTTCATTCAGTGGCACTTTTGAAAACAATTTCAACAATTTTGAATATATTTGAATATTAATTTTTTTAATCCATTTGCTTAGATTTTCCTATTTTGAGGTGAGAATGTAGAACGAGGAGCTAATTGGAGAGGAAAGATGGGAGGGTTACAAATAGAAAGCAGTGACCATCTATAACTTTCTACATTTTAATGAATTTTGCAATAAAATCCTTATTGAAAAGTATCACTAATATCAAAACAAATTAAGCTAGTCTTTATGCTGGCAAAATAAGCTACTCCTCTATTTATTCCTCCTTTTGTTTGAAAGATGTTACTTAGTTGATGAGACATCAATTGTTCAGAGCTATTTTCTTCTCACTTATATAAACAATTTATAATAGCTAATTGAACTTTTCCCCCATTACTTTTTCAGGCCACTTTATCTGAAATACTGCAACAAGCAGACTATCAGCTATTATTACATGCAATGCCTTTTTGGTAAGAATCATGGTACACCCAAAAAGAGAATTCGACAGAAGACAAGGACACTTAGATTGGCGATGGCTTTAAAACAGCTTCAAAACTTCAAAAAGAACTTCTAAGGAAGTAGATAGAAGATAGATGACAGACAGACAGATACTATAGATGATAGAAAGATAGATGGATGATAGATATATAGATAAATAGATGGATGGATGGATAGATAGATGTTATAGGTGATAGAAAGATAGTATACACACACACACACACACACACAGAGAGAGAGAGAGAGAGAGAGAGAGAGAGAGAAGTTGTATTTCCTTTTTAAATATTATATTTTATCATTCTCCCTGAATGAACAATTGGTTTCCAAGAGGAAAGTTCTTGATATCTTTCTCCTTAAGCTCTTTACGGGTATCAATTATCCTTGGTGGCGTAGTGGTTAGAGTCCAGTACTGCAGACTACTTCTGCTGACTACCAGCTGACTGCAATTTGGCAGTTCAGTTCTCACCAGTTCAAGGTTGACTCAGCCTTCCATCTTTCTGAGGTGGGTAAAATGAGGACCCAGATTGTTGGGGACAATCTGCTGACTCTGTTAAACTGCTTAGAGGGGGCTGTGAAGCACTGTGAAGTAGTATATAAGTCTAAATGCGATTGTTATTACTATCCATAAAAACAGACCTTAAGCTTGTTCCCCATAATTTTCAGGAACAGGTGGATCTTGTTTGAATCTGTTATACCCCCTCATTTCATCATAAATATATGCCAAATAATTGTTTGAGAATTTTATTTGAAAGCAAATAAATTGACAGCATTTTAGGTTGTTCTTGAGTTATTTTTGTGCTTCTTTTACTTTTTAAAAATCCAATAAAGTGTAGAAAAGTTATTTTATTATTTATTTATTACATTTATTATTATTTATTAAAAAAATTTGCCACCCAACTCACCATGAAGAGATTCTGGAAAGTGTACAATATTAAAAAGAAGAAGACTATACAAAAACATGTGTATAATAAGAACAGAATACTATGAAAATGCAAATTATCAGCTATAACTAAAAGATAAGGAGGGAGGGGGAGGGGGGATCTGTTGTTGATTCATCAATCATCTCCAGCATGACATTCACCATTGGAGCCCCAGGCCAACTGACAGAGCCAGGCCTTCATATGCTTGTGGAAGGTCAGGGGAGTGGGAGCTGACTTCACTCGGGGAGGGGGGAGGGGGGGCAAGATGTTCAAAGGGCCCAAATGATGGCAGAGAAGGCTCTATTTCTGAACCCCACCATCCAGAATTCCCTGGCTGATGCCTCGCCTGCCATCATGGGTGGGATGAGATAGTTTCTCAAGTAACCTGGATTCATGCCATGAAATGCTTTAAAGGTGATAACCAACACCTCGAATTGCACCGGAAACAAACCAGCAGCCAATGCAGCTTGCAAAACAGTGATGTAACATGGAGGGTTTCACCATCTACAAGGGATAAGGAAGGATCTAACTGAGAGGTGGTTGCACTGACAGCATCAAGGACCTGACCACATCCTCAGGTCCAATGGGATCAAATCATTCCCAGTTCACTAAGCAAGATCTCACACAGAGGCCACGCAGGCAAGATCCTGTTCAAAGTCTTGGCTGCCCTTAGGTTTTTGCTGGGCAGCAAAACTTCCAGGACATCCCCCAGTTCCTTCTGGAACCTGGAGCCAAAGGGGATGCTGTCCATGAACTGGGAATTAGCTCAGGGGGTGAGAATATGCCATCAATACTATACCTTGCATGGTCTCCTCTGCTGGAATCTCATCTATTGCCCACCTGGCTCAGGCTCCACAATAGGGTGTCTCTTGGCATCTTCGGGGCAAGCCATCATCCCAACCTTGGTCTCAGCCTCGTCCCTCAGCCTCTGCAGCTCAACTCCAATCACTACCATCATCATCGTCTTCACAGAGAGACTAGAACTCCAAATCCAACCCAGGACTCTGATCCACATGAAGGTATCACCATCGCCATTGCCATCACCACCACCAAGCAGCTGATATTCTGCACTGACCTGCTGAGCGAGCACAGCAGTCACCCAAACTCCACCAAACTGACCAGATGAGCTCTAAACTGTTGCTGCTCACTCTACATGCAGGGTACAGGTTCAGGATCAGCTCTGAAGTGTCACCACTGCTGCCAAATTGCTGGTCTCTCATGCCACCAAACAGCTGAGCCAAAATGCAGCAGCTACAGTTCTTGACTGGCCCTCACTGCGACCAGGCAGCCATGTCCAAAGTTGCTCACCCAGTGATTGAGACTTGGACAGAAATTCAAAGTAAGCATTGAAGATAAGGAGGGGGAAAGAGGGGACGGGGGAGAAACTGCCCCCCCACACACAATATTCCAGCATTTTCTGGGGGGAGGACAGGGGTGGGATTCTACCAGTTTGCACCTATTCACTAGAACCGGTTGTTAACATTCTAAACAGTTCAGAGAACCGGTTGTTAGAAGAAATTACTGGCCTAATCCTGTAAGGAAGGCAGGAAGGAAACATTCTGGTGTTGCTTACAGAAAGTGCCTCTCCGTTAACCCTTATTATGCTCTTGGCAGGACTAGACTTCCTGTCTCAGGAACTTCTCTGGAGTTTTTTCCCCCTCCTTTGCTGGTACTTTGCTTGTGTGGAGTGACCATTCAAAGTTACAATGGCACTGAAACTTATGACCATTTTTCACACTTACGACTGTTGCCGCATCCCCACAGTCATGAGAGGCCAGGCGAGGAGATGCGTGCCTCGATGTGAGTGATATTGAGTTGGCCACACCCAGCCAATAACATGACCACCAAGCCTCGAACACCCAGTCACATGACCACCGAGCCATGCCCACCACCTAAGCCACGCCCACAGAAACAGTTGTTAAAATATTTGAATCCCACCCCTGGGGGAGGATATTGGGAGCTCCACATCAACTGTCTGCTCCCATCCACCATCTTCCATGTGATCTTTATTTATTTCCCCAATATGATCCAAAATGTCCAAAGAAGACGCTCTTAGTCTGAATCTATTGCCAATAAAATTAAGGCTAACATATGGATAACAGGAATAGGAGAATCAATACCAGTTTCATAACATTCTGGTTTTTGTCAGCTTTCTGGTGCTACTGTGGCAAATACTACAAGGTGAACTATAAGGTTCCTATTAAACAGATTTTCTCCCCTAAAGTTAAAAAACTTACATTCCCATCAGCAAATAATGAAACTGTGAAATTTCACAGTGTGCTTAGATCAGGGATGTCAAACTCGCATCGTCACAGCAGTATCACGTGACTTATCAGGACTTTTTCCCCCTTCATTAAACCGGGCGGGGGCGGGGCCAGTACGTGACGCCTCCAGCCCGTGGGCCGTGAGTTTGATACCCATGACTTAGACCATCATTTTACTCCCCTTTTATCATTATATATTGTTCATTTCAGCAGCTTAAATATCAAAATGTGAACCACACAGAGAAGATAAGCATGGCCTTTGCGTCAGAATGGCATGCAAATCTGGGTAGCAAGACAGAAACAAATTTATCTGAGTTCATGAGATTGCTTCTGAGTAAGTGTGTACATGACTGTAAATTATATTTTAGTGAGAGTTTTATTTGGCTTTTGGAAGTAAAAACATATTTTTCAATACACAGATTATTTACCTGTGAACTGCATCTTTCAATCATTCTGATAGCATTAGAACTTACACTTTCAGCAATTCACAAAGTTTAATTGTAATGTTAAGTTACATAATTTGCACATTTTATTCTTACTGTTCTTAATTTCTACTCAAAGTTAGGATGAGGAGGAAGATAAAGTAAAGAGTAGCTGCATTTTTATTCCCTTATTTGTTCTGAAAGCATTTCCATTGGTTCCTATCTAAACTGGCTATTGAAATTATCCACCACTTTACTACTAAATGTAACTACATTCATTTTTCAATCAGACTACAACTTGTATATCTGGCCTTGCTCTCATTGCAAATTTTTCTTCTGCCCACTGTTCACCCAGAATTGGATGAAGTTTAAAAGCCTCATTTTAATTGACCCTAATTTCCCAATGAGGATCAGTGTATTTTGTTGCTATTTAAAGAGGAGAAGCCATGCTCCAACCCTCAGATACATTGTAGGATGTGATGAAAGCAGATTCTTGAAAGATCATCGTGGGTCTATTTGTCATCTTTTACAATCATCAAGAACATCAATGTTAGTTTGCTTACGAAATTGAATTGTCGTGGTTTAGAGTTCTTATTGAGAACATTCAAAAATATGTTGGAAAACAAATTGGAAAACAAAGATCTCAATATCTCAAAGCATGAGAATCTGCGTAAGAAACCTGCTAGAGTTATGGTTGAAATGGTCATCATCATTATTTTAGCCATTATCTATCTACTGCAGGATGGAGGCCTCTTCCACACATTTCCAACCTATATAACCCTGAGTTTTCTTTTGCCAATTGGGCCTGTAATATTTGCTGATGTCGCTAGTCCATCTGGTTTTTAGGTCTGTGTAAATGTACATCTATGAGGAGGTGATAAGCCACTGGGAAAGCCAAGAGAAGTCATCAAAACCATAAAAAAGCGAACACTAGCATATTTGGGAAATGTGATTGAATTGAATTTATTGTCATTGTACATATATACACAGTATACATACAACGAAATTCACATAACAACCAGAGACTAGACTCAACATGCACACACACAACAATCCCCAAACACCTCCCCACTTGTCAAAATTCCCCACCTCCTAAAAACACCCAAGCATCCACACAACAGACCAAGTAATATTGTCCAACAGCTCACTGATGGTGGTCCTTAAGTTCATTGTTAAGTGCATTTATAGCTCTGGGATAAAAACTATTCAGAAAACGTGTGGTCCAAGTTTTAATTGTTCTGTATCTACTGCCAGAAGGCAACAGTTCATAAAGATTGTAAACAGGATGGGAAGAGTCTCTGCGAATGTTGTGCAACTTCCACAAACTGCGAGATGTGAAGATGTCATCCAGGGCTCGTAGTTGGAACCCAATGATATTCTGGGCAGTTTTAATGATTCTCTGTAGAACCTTTTTGTCCGCTACAGAACTGCTCCCGTACCATACAAGAATTCAGTATGTCAGGACATTCTCAATGGTGCTGCGGTAGTAGGACAGAAGTAGATACTGAGGTAGATTTATCTTCCTGAGCATTCTTAGGAAGTACAGCCTCTTCTGTGCCTTCTTCACAAGCATGTTAGCATTCATAGATGCAACCTCCAGAAAACTACAGCATATTTCACTTAATGCTCCAAGGAAAGATTGAAGGCAAACGAGGTCCAGGCAGAAGAAGAACATCATGGCTTCAAAATCTAAGGGACTGCTTTGGACAAAACTCAACATCACTTTTTTGTGCAGCTGTTGATAAAAATAGGATTGCCAACATCCGATGGCTGATATGGCACAAGAAGAAGAAGAAATGTACATCTGCAAATATAAATGTACTTAAGTGGCAGCTGACATTTTTCCTAGACCTCCAGATTTTCCCCTGTAAATCTCAAAGATGCTCAATTCTATTCCTGCTCTTTCTTGAGATAATTCAGTCAGTATTTATATTTCCTTCAAATACTGTAATTGTATGAACGGAATGAGATACAACTAGAAAATTACTAATTGATAAGATATTTGAAAACATTGCTTTGGTATTGCAATATACAACTAGAAAGTATTGAGATATACAACTAAAAAGCTCTGGGCACCATATACCCTATCTCAAAACAAAACAAAACACTCTTAAGTGTGATCTTTAGAACCTCTTCTGAATTGCCAAGGAAGGAAAAATGGGATACAGTCGTATTAACTGCATTAAATTACCTTACTGCATTAATTTCCATATTGGTTCCACACACCCCTCGTCTCCTCACCCCACCCCACAACCCCAATGTCTTTATTCTCATCCTGAACATGGTCTTCAGCTTCTGGAGCAGTGGCATTTTGTGCAGACATCTTACCAAGAGAAGAAAGCTTACAGAGCCACACATCACTCTGTTGCTAAGTCTACATCTTTCATTGCCCATAACATCCCACCGTTTGGATAAAACCACTTCTTATAACACCTTGGGTGGGAAAAAAGGGCCAGGCATTGCAACCACAGTCTCCAATCCCTTCTGATTCCATACCAGTACTATGAGAGCTGTATTGCTGTCATGCTGAATCGCCCATTACAGATCGCCCTAGTGCAGTGGTCACAACTGGGATGAAAATTCAGTTGTTAAGAAAAGTGGTTGTTAAGTGAAACAGAAATTATGTTTATAATCTTACTTCAACTTTCTGTTGCTTTACCAACCTGCAAGGTTATAAATACAAACATTGGTCAAAAAGTTAGTTTTTAATCAGCCTTATGATTGCGAACAGTCACTAAACAAGGCAGTTGCTGAACAAAAACTACCTGTATATGTCTTTAAGGCTGTGGCTAGAAATTTTCTAGGATTTCAGCTCCTCAGATTATACTGTAGAAGCTGAAATCTCACCTTCCTTTGTTCTGCATAGAAGATGGTACCCCACATAACACTCATTTGTTTTGTTTTATTTTTTTCATTTATTACTTCCAGGACTTCAGAAGTATTTGATTACATCCCTTCCTCATTTGTGGATGGATATACCCAGAGGTGGTATTCAGCAGATTCTGATCAGTCCTGCAGAACTGGTGGCGGAAATTTTGAGTAGTTTGGAAAACCGGCAAATCCCACCTCTGACTGGAGATTTTACAGTATCCTTCCCCTGCCACTCCCACCAAGCCACACCCACAGAACTGGTAGCAAAAAAATTAGAACCCCATCACTGGATATACGCCAAGACTATGCCATATGCTTCTGTCTGATAGTTCCATTTTTAGGCAGACGGAATATGCTGGCCAACCTTGGCTACTCTATTTCTTCAAGTATGCCGCCAAAGGGATTATTCTTATTACCTTTTTCCTTTATGAATTATGGTAGGCCATTCCATGATTTTAGAAACTTTTCCACCCATTGCAATTCCTGCAAGGAAATGCTTGGATTGTGTAAACCATTTTCCCACAATAAATGCATCAAATGTGGAAGCTAGAAACGTGAGCATAAAGGCTCATGCACACAAAGCACATCTCTGCAGAGGTTTAGCTATGAGGTTTGGTTTTAATTTCTCTACTGTACATTTGCATAATTATTAGTTAAGCCAAATATTTATATTCTTCCTCTGTGTTGGAAAAAAACAGTGGTATTAATGTTACTATTTTTATCTGAGGCATGCAGCTATCCAAGATCTTTATGAATGCCAACCTGTGACTGCAGGAACATAATGATCTAAACTTTATCTGACCGCCATAAAAATAACATTAGTGGAGAGAAGAGGCAGCCCCCAATTAAAACAACTAAAGCAAGCCTATAAAAACTTTGCAAGTCAAAAAACATCATTTTTCAGACCTGTACAGCGATGAAAGGTCTGTGGTTTGCCTTCCTTTGCCTGTTCGCTCAAGCAAGTGAAGCCAGAATATACTCCAAGTGTGAAATGTATAAAGAATTGAAAAAACATGGAATGGAGGATTACTATAAAGTTGGCCTAGGTCACTGTAAGTTTTCTTCTTTGAATGCACTACTTCTTTCCTTGCTGGAAGCTTTAACTTAAGTCCAATATGATGATCATCTAACTGTATATCATTTCAGTTTTATTTTGGAGGAAGTTTCTTTTTTCTTTAATGTCTAGAATTTAAAACGAACATTCATATTAAGGTCAAAAATTCATTAATATGAATATGCAAGTTCCAGTGTTTAGGCAAAATTATCTGTAGAGCAGCAGAAGAAGGACCACCCATAACTATCCCCTACCCCTTGGTACATGAATCATGCACATGAGACATTAAAAAGGAGTGGGTTTGTCACGAACACAAGTTTTCCTTTGACAGTGAATCAATTATTCATGTTCAATTGCTATGATTTCCTCCTAGGGTTATGTTTGATCCTATTTAGCAGTGGGTTCAACACTGAACATTATGTGTATACTGAAGGACACCCATATTATGGTTTATTTCACCTGAGTGGTCTAATATGGTGCACAGATGGGAGACATAACAGCCAGAACATTTGCCGAATAGATTGTGAGCGTGAGTGACTTCCTTCATACTTTTGCATTAATTGATCCAACAACCTGGGTTCCATTATCAAATGAATTGAAGTAAAAATTACCCTAGAAATAAAGCCCTAAGCCCATCAAACTTTCTTTTATCGAGCTATTAGCTTGATACCCGTGCTTCGCTACAAAACTATGTGGTGGGACTTAGTTTTGGGGGAGGAAAATAAAGGGAAAAAATTCTGCCTCTGCCTACCACTATCCATCAGTATTCATCTGGCTAGTGTCCTGTCAATGTGTGAGAGAGTTGAGGCTGTTTGGAAACTGAAGCAGTATTTGCTGTGTGAGCAAAAAGGAGACAGCAAGGAGTCTGGGCATGGCTTAGCTTAACTGTTCTGTACTAAAGCTGCTTGGTGCTGTGAAAGTGAAACTGAAACAGAAACTCCTCTGCTTGTGTTTTGCATTTGGAACAGATTTCTTTTCAGGTGGGGAGGGGGAGTAGAACTCCTTAGCATCAGAGCGTGTTAATAATAATATAGGAAATATTAATGCTCTGATGGTCATTTCGAAAAATCCTTTCTTAGTGAGCACCTAGAAGCCAAGAGGAACTTACGTGCCAAATTTCAAGTTTGTAGGCTTTATAGTTCTGGAGATTTTGTCATGATGTGGTATTTCGCTTTTATATAGAGAGAGATATAATGATCTGTACACAACAATCTAAGGTATTCTCCCAAAGATCCCATTCCCAGCATTTTGGACATCCCTAATAAATAAAAAATATGAGAGCCTGTGTGGGATTTAGTGACTGAAATGGAAGACTGGCTCTCATTAATACAGAGAACAATTGAGACTTCCTTGAATGAGTGCACTGGAAACTACTTGCCATGAAATTCTAAATCTCTTGCAAGATCATCTTAAGCCTGGGAGATTCAACCATCACTGGAAAGCCAAAGGTCAGCATAGAAAAACTATTGGCATTTTGTGGAGGGTTCATTACTTAAAATCCCAGTTTTATCATGGAAGGAACTTTGATTTCATTAAAGCTTTCCTTCTCTTCTGCCACAGAATTCCTCGATGACGATATTACAGATGACATTAAATGTGCTAAGATAATTGCCAGGACTAGCAAAGGGATGTTGTTTTGGTAAGTAACGTCTACTACGTTAATTCTAGGGAAAAAAATAAAAAGTGGTAGAGAGTATTATTTAATCTTACAAAACCTTGGTAGAAGTCCCTTATTATTAGGGGGTAGTATTATCTTTGTATATGAAATGCAACTCTTGAATCTTCTGTATTTTGCTGTGGGCCCTGCTTGTTTTCAAAATAAGTTGGGGGAAAGAAATAGAAGAATGCAGTTGTGGAAGCTATTAGATAACAGGGATGTGATGAGCCAGTTTGGTCTAGACTCTAGAGGTTAAGGTGCTGCCCTTAAGAACCTTAGGCTGTGAGTTCCAGTCCCACTTTAGGCCAGCTGGAGGACTTTCGGCCCATCATTCTCTCTCTCAGCCCAACCCACCTCACAGAATTGTTGCTGTGGGGAAAATAGGAAGTAGTAGTAATAGGTATGTTCACCACCTTATTTATAAGCAATAATAATGATGGGATTTTAAAAATCAAATAAATAAAATATATGAGATTTCTCACTTTGGGAACTCTGGAACGTTCCATTCCCCCCTCCCTCACCCAACCATGTCAAACTTCAGTTTCTGATCATGCCATTCCAGGGACAGTTTGGCATTTTCTAGAAAGAAAACCTCTGAAACAGAAGTGGTTCAAGATTTTCTGGACAGGATATGCTGAACAATACAACCCTGTTTCCAGTCCAGATCACAAGAGAACATTTCAAATTACTTCTGCTTTAGTGGATTAATTGGAGTGTGGTGGCTGCGGTGGTTGGAGGTTAGCAAGCTCCCATTAGAGACCTGAGTGTTGGGTGGGGTGAGCTCCTGTCATTTGCTCCAGCTCCTTGATGGGGACATGAAAGGAATCCCCACAGGCGTCCTCCTAGCAATAGTGATGTCACCAGCTGATCCTTTCATCGGGAAATGCCTTAAATAGTGCCTCCAACATGAAGGGATGGAGTGGATTTATTTCCAAAATATGCCAACCACCCCCAGAATGACAGAGGAAATGGAATGTATGTTCCAAAATTGTATGGAATATTCTGTTCCCAAATTAATGCATTTTGCTCATCAATATAACTTCTATGAAATGTGAGGTCCACTATGGGATAGTTAAAAGCACTGAAGTCAGGAGATTCAGAGTTCTCTGAGTTTTCTGAGCCATGGGAGCTGACTAGGTAACTTTGCCCCAACTATGAACACTCTAAAACAGCCCAAACTATTCACAAGATTGCTGTAAAGGGGACCAATAACAGAAAGGAGCACTATGTATGCAACCTGAAGCTTTTGGAGAAAAGATTGGATATAAATCTGAATAAACAAATAAGTCTCAAATAATGCAAAATAATGAGAAAGCAAAGACATTTCCAATCTATATATTAAGATCTGGTCCGAGCAGTTGCCCTACCAATGCATATTTTTGTCATTTCCTCACAATATTGACCATTTTGACCTGAGAGTCTTCTTTTATATTTCTGTTACTTCTTGCATGGGCTCTGAAAAGGAATTGTTTGCACACTGTAGATGCAATAAAAAAGCACATTTTGGAATGTACTTGTTGCATTAAAATCCATTGCTGCAAAGATGCCATTTAAAAAAAAAAAACAATGACATCTTTGTTATGTATTAACCTATTCTGCTCTCCTCTCCTATTTCTTTAGGACACACTTCTACGAATACTGCACTCACCCTGTGCCCCAAATATTATATTGGGAATGTGTATGAAATACAAGAATCAATGTACCATTTTGTTTTTCTGCTTTTGGATGACTCTGTCCAGTCCAAATAGTTTCTGGAATGACTGTACCTGTTGCTTGGAAACCGTCTTCCCATCTGAACCTCAGTCAGTCAGAATCACAAGTTGTTTGCCTTCTAAACCAGGGAGACAGGAAACTGAAATCTAATCCATTTTCAGGAAACAATTTTTGTAACCCTCAAATTTTATGAGCTTTGGAATAGTATGTTAGATCCATCATCTGAACTCTAAGAACAAAATTTTAAAAATAGCATAAAATCTACTTAAAAGTACATGAAACAGCCGACTGATAGGAATATTTATGTTTCCGTTGTATGACTTGAAAATATGCAAAATGGAAGGACAGAGTATAAAAATAATATTGTTTAAATGTTGACATATTCTATACTTCAGATGAAAAACCAGACTAGGTTACAAGTTTTAAAATTCACCTTTGTCTCATTCAATCAATCACATATCTGGTCAATTACTGAACTGAATGCTAGAGGTCTTGCTGGCCGTGTCTTGGATCATAGTCCCCTCTTATGGCTACTAGGTAAGAGGGATTCCTCTGTGGTTGAACTTGTGCTCAACAACCATCTATCTACAGTTACATCCTTGAGGTTCTTGTATGCCAGTACTAGAAAAATATATCTCCACACCCAGAGATACACAAGATCGCAACATGTATGCCTGTGGATACCAAGCAAAAAATTTGACCAGAGTTTATAATCAGTACTTTAAATATTATATGCTGCATATAATACTTTAAAAAATACTAGAAAAATGTATTCAGCATCTGGTAAAAAGCAGAATAGGGGAACTACTGCACTTTATGGGGCAAGATATTTCATAAATTATTTGATTCATCTTTGGATCCAGACTTGGCAGCTCCCATCCCTCTGGCTATTGAGAAGGATGTGGGTAAGTGTGGATAGGTGTGAGGCGGGATGCATGTGAGAAAGAGCAAATATATATATATTGTAACAAGTAAAGATTTGCTGCTATTTTAAATTCACTGGGTCTCCATGTATTCTAAAGAGCCAGTTGTGGCTCAAGTGTTCGGTTGAAAATTATTTGAGTGTGGCTATTTTTCAGGGCTATGAATGTTGAAGAATGTTAGCACCCACCCCTTTCCTAGAAGAATACCACCTCTGACACACACACACACACACACACACACACACACACACACATTTTCAAATTTTGGGTTAAGACTTTCTTTCAGTTGCACATATCAAGCAGAGAAAAATGTATCCTGATTCCAGTTAACTCATTAAGTTTAAATCACTCCTTGAAATTGCCTTGTGAAATTGCCTCAGCAGTTGGTAACATTCTCCACAGGATTTTTTTATCATCAGAGAATGACTGGTTAATGAATTGGCATATTTTATAAAATCAGCATTCAACTAATCTATTCATATTTAAACGGGAAAAGCAAATATCAAAATGTGCTAAAACCAAGGTATGATTAAACAAATAAACAACTGAAAGGATACCCAACCCTCTGGCTCAGCGGTGTCAAACTCAATTTCATTGAGGGCCACATCAGGGTTGTATTTGATCTTGGGGGCCAGGGTTGGGGTGGCCCAGTGGTGGGATTCAAAAATTTTTACTACTGGTTCTGTGGGCGTGGCTTGGTGGGCGTGGCAGGGAAAGGATACTGTAAAATCTCCAGTCAGAGGTGGTATTTGCCGGTTCTCTAAGCTACTCAAAATTTCCACTACCAGTTCTCCAGAACTGGTCAGAACCTGCTGAATACCACCTTTGGTGTGGCCTGGATGGACATGGCCAGCTTGATATCACTCGTATTGGGTATGCCTGTGATGGCCCGAGCACTCTGCCAGCGAAAACAGGCTCCTGAGCTCCATTTTTAGCCATGATGGCCTCCTGCAGCCCTCTGCCAATGACAACAGAGCTCGAGTAGACCACACATGTCCCCGCAGGTCCCATTTTTGCCGGCAGAGGCACTGAGGGGCGGTCACTCACTGTTTCCAGAGTGGCTCTGCGGGCCAGATCTAAGCACCCTGTGGGCCAGATCCAACCCCCAGGCCTTGAGTTTGACACCCCTGTTCTGGCCTCTCATATTGAAAATTGCAACCTTCAAGATTTCTCTTCTCAGATAGGTCCCCCGTTACTCCTAATTGGTAGTATTCAAATCTCTAGAATACAACAACAGCAATTCCAGCTACGAGGTCGAGGAGTTTCTGGATTGCCTAGAGAAGATACTAAAGCAAGAATGATTAACTAATTAGGAAGAAAAGAAAATGGATCTTGAAGTCAACAAAACATATAGAGTAAACTCCAGATTTGCCACCATGAAAAAATTACCAAGAGATGTTTTAGTCCATTTTGTAAGAACAAGTGACTACATTTTGGATTGTCACTTCAAATCTAAATTAAGGATGGAAAATATGAATATCATTGTATTGAAGGAAATCCCTCTTTTTGTGAAAAAGAGAAGCTTACACCTTCCTAACAGATATTCTGACTAGGACAAACTTGAAGATGTGTTATTTACTTACCATGAACAAAGATGTAGATTATGGAGAAACCTAAGGATTTTTTAAATTAAACATAAATTAATATTGGACCCAGCTGAAGAAATAGATACATTAAGCAATAGGAGGTATATCAATTTCAGAAACTTGAAATATGAAAGATTGACTAAAAAATGTGGTTTTAAACTAGGGGGGAAAGGTGAAACACCTAAAGGTTATATTGTCAAGCACAAATGCTAAACTGTTTCAAAATAATTTTCTGCCTGCATGGATTGATGTTTTTTAAAAAAGATTTATTAAAATTGGACAGATTGTAATTATTATTGGAGAGAATTTCAGTGATCAAGTTGAATGTTTTACCAAAGATGTTTTTTGTCTTTCAGACTTTACCAATACTTATAACTGATACTTCATTTAAACAATGGGATATTGTTTAATAACAGCAAGGGGAAACCCACCCCCCCCCAGACTTAGATATAAATTATTGCAAGATGATAAAGAAAGAGGAGGTTTGGGTTTATCAGATTTGAAATTGTACTTTGATGTTGCTGTTTGCTCTGGCTGAAAGAGTGTGTGACTCTCCAAAATAAGTGGTTACCGGAGCTGGATGGCCATGAATTGAGATTTGAATGGCATGGCTATTTATAGTATGATAAGGTTAAAGCAGGAATCCCCAACCCTCAGGCTGTGGCGCATTACTAGGCCATGGCCTACTCAGAAATACCCTGAGCAAATGGTGAGCTGGCACACATGCATGCAGCTCAAGTTCAGCTGCGTGCGCTTGCCACAACGGCCCAGTACCCCTCTTTCCCCCAGGTTATGCTGTTCAGACTTTGCCTTATATTTGACCCAAAAGTGCATGAACATACTATAACAATGATTAAGGATAAGATTGATCCAACAATCTGTTGGAAGAAAAATCCTTCTGGGTTCAGTTCTAAGTGGGGAAAAAGACACTGGAAACATGGAGGCTGTTTGGAAGGTTTAATGGGACCACATGGCCTGGAGCTCCAGAGTGAAAAGGAAGGATGATCACATGCTTCAAGGTGAAGGAAGAGATCAAGAAAAAGGCTGATATGCTGAGAGTGCCTAGGTTTTATAACCTTTGTTGGGATTTGAATTGGAGCTTGTATTCTGATTGGTTGTCAGACTCCCATGGGGCCATGCAGGGGCAACTCTGTAGGCTGTCCTGAGTTCCAGGCTGGGTTGAGCCTTGCTTGATGATGATGCACTGAAAGGGCTTTTGAGTAATTGCTATAGCTTTACCTGGAGATCTTTGTTATGTAAAGTACCTTAATGGCCCACCCTTTAACAAAGGTGGGGGTGAATTTCTGCTTCTGAGGTGAGTTTCTGCTTCTGAGTTTCTACTCTTTTTAGAGGAAATATTCTGCCTTTTTAATATTTCCTAGGATATTTCAATTTTCTAGGAGAGGGGTGGGTGCTAACTTCCTACAAATCTGTAAGAGGAAAGAAGAAAGGCTACATTAAGAATAACACTCCAGGAATATAATCCAGAATTTGGGGGGGGGGGGGATAAGCAACCCTGTGTTTGATATCCTAGAGGCCCAATAGTCACATAGTTCTTTTAGTGGATTTAAATTTATTTGTGGGCTGTGTCACCAAGAAAGCTAAAGTTTTCCTAGAATGCATGCAACAATAATTATATAGAATTAGAGTCAGTGTTTATTTCAATGGGCTGTTTTTACTGTACATCTGGGAAGCAGTTTTTCATATGAGACTTCAAATCAGGACAAAAAGAAAAACAAATAATCAAAGACTCTAATGACAACGAGGCTGCTATATGGCAACTGTGTGTAGAAATTGATCTGCTTGTATCAGAATTATTGAAACTACAGAACTTGTGGAATTCCCCTTTTGCAAAAATCTTTGATTCATCTCTCATCCTCCAGTTCCTATGCTGCAGTCATACTAGCAGGTCTTTAAAGGGGACATTAAATTTGATGTTTTTTTACCTCCCTCCATCTCTGCAATTACTCTGCAAGTGTTTGGGAGCAAATAACAGCCTGTGTGGTGGGATAGATTCAGTTCAAGTCCACTGTCAAAGCTGGAAGATCTCTGGATGTCCCCGGGCTGTTCACTCCCTCTCATTCCAACATATCTGGTGTTGCGACGGTATGGCATGCAATCTTGAAGATCCAAGATCACCGCCAATATCTTTGCTTCTGGACAGTCCAAACAGATCTAAACCGTCCCAAAGAGATGGTGAATGTAAAGAGCACATCCTGTTGATCCCAGGGATACCGCAAAGTCCCTGGTAGATCCAGGAGAAGCTCTTTTTGCCAGTGGTAAAGAGGCAGCCATTAAAGCTGCTAAAGTTGGGACAGCTCCGAAACGGAAGAGAATGGAAAGAGAAAGTGTGCCGGTTTGGTGAGAGTTTTTCTTTTATTTTAAGATTTGAAAGAACGCCCTAAGGAAAAGAAAGAATTTGTAAAATCTAAGACAGAAGTGATTAAGCGGCGATTTTAAAC